CAAAGTCTCACTTCTTCACCAGGCTGGTGTGCAGTGGTACGATCTTGGCTCACTGCAACCTCCATCTCCCAGGTTCAAGTGATTCTCATGCTTCAGCCTCTTGAGTAGCTGGGATTACAGGTGTGCACCGGCATGCCCTGCTCACTTTTGTATTTTTAGTAGAGACAGGATTTGCCATGTGGGCCAGGCTGGTGGCAAACTACTGGCCTCATGTGATCTGCCTGCCTCGGTCTCCCAACATGCTGGGATTACAGACATGAGCCACCGTGTCTGGCCACAATAAAGTACCTTAAATCAGAAATTTTAAAACTATATTAAAAATGGACAAAAAAACTAGGAAGTTAGGGAATGAGAGTTGGCCAAACTGAGGAGAGAAATGGAAGGAAAAGGTATTTATTTTAAGGTTGAGGAAAGTGAGACCCAAATGTGGCCTGATTGTCTAATGTCCTACAGCTGATGAGTGGGAGAAAGACGTTCCAACTCCGGACTCTTTCTGTTGTCTTGCCGTCTAGTCTCCAGTGCCTTCTGCTTGGGATAGTGCTAAAGGGTTGGAGGTGGACGCTTATTTGTATCTTGGCCACACTTTGTGCTTTTTACGTGACCTGGGCATGGCACCTACCTCCTGTATTCTTCATTTTCCTTGTGTGAAAAATGGGGCTTATTGCTTGCCTTGTATGTTTGCTGTGAAGATGAGATATAATTAATGTTCATAAAGCATCTTGTATAGAGCCAAGTACATGGGAAGCACTTGGTAAATATCAGTGACCTGCAGTTCATATTTTAGATATTGTCATAGTGGCTCATTTTCCAGCTTGGTGCTTCAACCTGAGGGCTTGGGGAGATTACCGCCCAAACTCCCCACCGCTGCCACTATGAAAGCAGTTACTCTTCTAGATATTACTGATTCTACTGAGTTTATGGGTCAGCAAAGTAGTCAGGTTGTTGATAGACCAGGTTTAAGCCTTGTCAGTGTAGTAAGCCTGTTTGCAGTTGAGACTTTGAAGACTTTTGGTTTTTTTCTACTCAGTTTGTATCACTTTCCAGTTGCAGGAGCGGCATTCTGAGACACCATCGTCTCCCAGAGAATGCTCCTTCATCCCTTTCTCTTTGTTCTCTATCATCTCTTCTCATTATGTTTTGTAACTGTTAAACTTTTTTTGAAGGACAGGTATTTTCCTTATATAATATTTCTACCTTTTCCTTATTCAAGTGCTAGGATAATTTCCGTTTCCATAAAGAATAATGTGTAGTATTTTCAACCATATGACAATTCAGATATCATTTTATGAAATGTTGCATTTCATGTAAACTGTGCTTTTTATATCAGGAAGACTTTTAAGTATCTGAGGGTCTTATTTTAATATATGTTTGGGGAAAGAATATTGTCTACCTAAAACTGGCTGCATATTTTTCATTAATCTTGAAAATTACAACCAAATGAAATTGTTGAGTTAGTATTGTTAAGGTAATGGAAAGTGGTGTGTATGTCACTATTTAAAGCTGTAAGAATTTTAGCATGTTTTGCAGTTAAAGTAGAAATGCAAAATCATATTACAACTAAGATAGTTAAGTATGTCATTTAATAGGTTACATAGTTAAGGGACCTGAATTTATGGTAATAATTGTATAGCAAAATTTTTTAGACTAGTCCTTCCAGCTAGGATTTTTAAAAAAATACACAGTGTATTGTTTATTTCACCTTGATATTATGAGCCAGACTATTTCTTAAATGGTATTTTATTTTTGAAGAGCATAACAAAGAAGTACATCATCTTCAAAAGGATTTCACTCCTATTTGGATGCACTAAGATCTTTTCAATACTTAGGGATGATTGCTCTTATGTAAACGGTAGCAGAGTGAGGTGGGAGCACAGAGGAGTGGATGAGTGGTCAGGAATGGCTTCAGTTGGAGTCTTCAAGATTGAGTATGCCTGGAACCTTGGGAGGTGAGTCTGGGTAGTGAAGCTGGGAGTCTTTGGGAAGGAGGTAATACATGTGCAGAGACTGAGTCATGCAAGAGTACGTATGTATGTATGTTCAGCCAATCATGAGGCACTCAGTGTGGCTGGAGTGCAGGAGGACGGTGGGGCAGTGAGGCTGCCGAAGGAAACTGGTGTGGTTGTGAAGCTCCTAATGTATCAAACGAGCACATGTGGACTTGATTCTGTGGCCATCGGGGAGCCACCCAAA